AGGCAGAGATATTCATGTTTATGTTCGGCGCAGTTTGCGAGATGTTTTCAGGAAGGTCCCTACGTTTGTTCTGGAAGTAAAGGTTCGTTGTTCTGTCAGTAACCTTCCTATTCATGGTTTCATATTGCTTTATGTGTAATATAATATTTTTTAGATCGTATGCTATTATATTATTTTTTCTATGACTCATATTTATTTGCGGCTCATTATATTTTGTCTTAGCTTGTTATATTTTATTTACAAGTCAGTATACCATTATTTGAACTGTTGCTGGGCAGAGGTTTCTTGGTTCAGCATTTGCTGTTTTTCTCAGTTTCATTAGAGCCCAAAAGTTGATAACTTTTAGATTTTTTTTGTTTTTAAATTTTAATAAGTAGTACTTTTTTAGGGTTTTGAACATGATGTTTGATTCCTTATGTTATAAGTCTTAGTGTTTGTTTTGGATTTTTGAAACAGGTTGGTTTATTACACGGTGTGATGTCAGATAAAGAATATAATGTCATTCTTGATTGTTTCTACATGAATTTCTCTGAGAACCCAACACTTCCACCTAGTTTCCGCAGCAGCACATCTGCTTCAAAAGATACAATAAAAATGCTGGCTGATAAAGTGAACGTGAACAGTCAAATACTCCTATCACGAACGGTTACCATAATGGCTGTGGAAGTGGGCTATGCCTTGCTGGAGTTGTGGAACGACACTCATGCGGGGTCATGCTTGGCTCATGTTGCGGTGAGTGGTTGTGTATGTGATACTAAATTATGATATGTACAGTCTGGACATTGTATTTGAGTTCAGTCGGACATTTTGCTTCTTTCTTCTCCCCCTTTCTCTTTTTTTTTTTTCAGTTGCAAGTTGTGGTTTGGTCATTTTGTATCCATGTCGGATTTTACCTTATTGCGCTCTTCACTGTCTTTGCAGCTTGAAGGTCTTTGGGTGTCGTACCGAATGACATCATTATGTGAGGCGGACCTTTACATAACTATCCCAAAGTTCTCTGTTTTAGATATTCGCCCAGATACAAAGCCTGAAATGAGGCTGATGCTTGGGTCGTGCATTGATGCTCATTCACAGAACTCTCCTGAAACTGATGTTGGATTTCCAACTTCAACAATGTTTGTGATGGACTGCAGATGGAGATTGTCATCTCAATCATTTGTTCTTCGGATACAGCAGCCTCGCATTCTTGTTGTACCAGACTTTCTACTATCTGTTTGTGAGTATTTTGTGCCATCTTTGGGAGCGCTAACTGGTAGAGAGGAGATCATGGATCCCAAGAATGATCCTATTAGCAAAAACAACAGCATAATACTCTCTGCTCCTCTTTACGAGCAGAAAGAGGATCTAGTATTATTATCTCCCAATAGACAGCTAGTTGCGGATGCTGTAGGGATTGATGAGTACACGTATGATGGTTGTGGAAAAACACTACGCCTGACCGATAAGGTGGAAGTGAAAGGGATCCATTCATCAGGAATTCAACATATCATCATTATTGGACGTGGCAAGAGGCTGAGATTTGTCAATGTGAAAATTGAGGTACTAACAACTCTACCTTAGAAAATGCCAATTTAGAGAGCATCCTTACTCAGCAACTGCTGTACCATCTGTGCTATCTTTATTGTGAAGGGGATATTCTCAATAGTTTCTGGTGTATCTTGTTGTTCTTTTGCAAGAAAGCAATAATGTTTATCTCCTTCCCTGATCCCCGGAGAATAAGCTGATACTTTTGGGCATAAAAACCTTTGTGATGCTTTCTTTTTTTTTCCTGATGTAAGTTTATAACTTATTGATATGATGCGGAAACCCCGAAATAAGGGTGTAACTAAAGTGGAGAAGTATACAAAAAGACGCGAATTTGTATAAGAGTATCCATGTACTAATTGATAACTGGAAAATTATAGGTGCTCCTACAATATACTAAAATTAAAAGCATTATTGTTATGAGAGACGGTCCTTAGTTGCCATGTTCTGTTCTTATACCCAGTGTACATCTTGTTCTAGAATTTCTGCTTTTTTCCTCTCTCTTTTCTTATCCATTCCTTTGTCCCTTTTATATTTTTTTCATTTCTATTTTATTAGTTGGCTTGTTGCCTTTTTGAGTGCCAACGTGGATGATCATCCTTCCTGGTCATAGAAAAGCTCCTAGTCTTTTGAAAATGGCGCCGTGCCCTTAATTTGTTTATTATGCAGAATGGTTTGCTTTTAAGGAGATATACTTACCTGAGCAACGAAAGCAGCTATTTGGTCTGCCAAGAGGATGGTGTGGACGTAATGTTTTCTGACAGTAATTCTGACAATGATGAAAATGGTATGAAGTCCATGGAAGAATTGTTATATAATTCAGATGCTTCCGATTTTGACCCTAATGGATCTAGTAAAATACAAAGCTTCAGTTTCGAGGCTCAGGTAAATTAATATTTGTTAAATTGATTTAAATTTCTCTCTGTGATCTATTATATATTTTTGTGTTTCTTCATATGTAAATTGTGGTCATGATATTACAATGTTAGCCTTTGTTTATATATTTCCAGTTGTACTTTGGGATATAATTTTCTTTATTAGCAGAAGCTGAATACAATTGGGTGCCTAACAACAAAACAATAAAATAAAACAAACCCAGCATTTTCTATCTTTAAGACCTACCACCTGAAAACTGAGTCTTTTCTTCCATTCTCGTTATTGTCTTGATTGCATTTATTACAGGAACTCCGACTCTATCAAGTGTTGTTTCATGGTTATAATCGATCTTATTTCTGGAAAATGGAAGTAGAAGATATTCCATAGATCTTTTCTGATAACCAGATACTCTATTGATCTTAAATTTGCTGTTTTGCTTTTTCTGTAATGTGAAAGGAGAGAGAAGAGAAAAGACCTCTTAATGACTTGCTTAAGTGTTCCTTCGTCTAAACTCTTAAGGTAGTATAATATAATATGTAGGTATTCTCTTATTTGGTCATATGGAGTGACAAGGCCCATCATCATTTTATGTTTATACAGAATTGTGAAAGGAGAGAGGAGGAAAAAACTTCTTAATGGCTTGCTTGACTAACAATGTATAGGAATTATTCCTTAGTCTTAAGTTAGTACAATATAATATGTAGTTATTCTCTAATTCTAGAAAATTAAATATTCTGCTATAATTGCATAATATTCTGCAGAATCGTAAAAAATGTTCTCAATATTCAAATATTTAAGTTAAATAAATCTAGACACATGATATTATTTATGCTAGTCGGCAATGGGGTGTTTGAGTGATAGAGGGATAGAAGTAACATCATGAAGATACCAGGTTTAAAGTCTAGCTACAACATTCAGTTTGAGCCCATCTGCTCCATCTTCGTGTGACAATAGTATCCAACACCTGCGCTTGTGGGCTGCAGTAGGCTACCTAGTGGATCTGTTGAGGTGCATGCAAGTTGGCTGGACTCAACTGTCATAATAAAAATGATGTCATTAATTCTTGACTTACAACATGCTCCCCTAACTCAAAGTGGTTTTTAAATCACTGAAAAGTCAAGTCAGAGTAATTTGTACCAACCTCTCTATCGCACCATGAGGAAAAATAACGGGATAATTGTTCTATCCTAAATTCATGAGGAGAAATTTTGTTCCCTTGGAACAATGACAGGAATTCAATTGTCAAAGGAGGGAGTCTGATAGCATGAAGAAAAAGACTTTCTGGATCAGTGACGGGGCAATGTTTAGATGAGGGATTCAATATCTAACATGCCCAGTCAATCTCAAGATAGTGAAGTGACTTGAGTTTGAACCACTGGAAAGTTAAGGCAAGTAATATGGTATGGAGGTAGTGTTGTTGAAGAAGCTTTCAGACCGCAGCATTTAGTAACATGCTTAAAAAGTTTTTCCATCTTTTTTTCCTCACCTTTGGTCATAAGCAGTTCATTGTTGTGGCTGGATAGTTGAAAGCTGATGTCATTTAAATCCCTACAAACACTCTACCTGTTGGGTATTTCATAAGTAGGAACACTGATTTTACTTCTTCAACTTGTTATCTTGGCATTCCGTTGATTTCATTTTTCTTGAGATGGTTGGTCATGTTCAGCACCGGTTCGTAGGTATGAAACTATGGTGATGGAAGGCGTTAAAAAAGGATGGGGTAGACCTAAAATCACATGGAAGGAACTAGTCCCGAAAGACCTACAAATCCTTGGAATCAATGCAGACTTAGCTAAAGATAGGGCACAATGGAAGAGAAAGATCCATATATACATATATATATATACACACACACTCTTTCACTTTTATTTTATTTTGGTAATGATGATGATATGAGGTGAGCTGACCCCAACTTGTTTGAGACTGAGGCGTAGTTGTTGTCGTCGTTGTATTCCGTTGATTTCATTTGCAGAGCTATACCCACTGCATCAAATTTCTGGTAACTTCATGATGATAAGAAATACTTATTGTTCTTCTTCTTCTTTTTTTTTTTTTTTGTTGCATATATGTTTCCTTCTCTTTTTTCTTCCAACTTCTTTCTTGTATTCTAGTTGTGATTGTTACTGCTCACCTGCTTTTGGTCAGTTCTTAAACAATATCATTCTGTTTCTTAATATCTAGGTTTTTTTCTAGATTGAGGCATAGTTGATTGATTGCTATATTGCCTCTCCCAGGTTGTCTCTCCTGAATTCACATTTTATGATAGTAGTAAATCATCTTTGGATGACTTTGCTCATTGTGAGAAGCTCCTCCGGGCGAAAATGGACCTTAACTTCATGTAAGATGCTTGTCACTGAAAGCTACCGTTGTTTCCCAGTTATTATATTTCATTTTCCAGATATTTATAGATTTGATGCAACAGGTATGCAGCTAAAGAAAGTGATACATGGATCCGGGGACTTGTAAAGGATTTAACTGTTGAGGCTGGCTCTGGTCTTATTATTATTGACCCAGTTGATATATCTGGAGGATATACTTCTGTGAAGGATAAAACGAACATATCATTATTGTCAACGGATATATGTGCCCACCTATCTCTTGGTGTTGTCTCCCTTTTACTCAATTTGCAGAGTCAGGCAACCACTGCTTTACATTTTGGGAGTGCTGATCCCCTGTTGCCTTGTACTCAGTTTGACAGAATTTGGGTTTGTCCCAAAGGTATTTCTTTTTTCCATGTCTTATAAATTCGTTGTTGTTAATCTGTTCTGTTATTCATCTGGACGTTTGATTCTATTGCACTTGCGCAGAGCATGGGCGTCTTAACAACCTTACATTCTGGAGGCCCAGAGCACCGTCGAACTATGTTATTCTGGGAGATTGTGTCACATCAAGGTTAGAAGATCCATAAAGTGTGTGGCCGCTTTGATTAATTCGAAATTTCTCCTACTTCGTTTGCGAATTTCAAATGCAATATTTTCATATTGTTGGTACCTGATTCTTTGTTAATCTTTTAGTGGAAGACGTCAGTTTGATGCTTTCATTTCATCCAGGCGAGTTGATATAGGATTGGTAATGCTATGATTTCAGGGATAATGATTTTCCCCTGCTCCAAAGAGCACTGATATAACTCAATATAATTAGGGTTTTAGCTGTCATTGAAACCCTACAACATTTGTATAATGGTTCATATCATGTTGCTTGTTATTGTACTGAGTGAAGCTTCATACCCAATTTACAACTTTCATTAACTGAAATGAAAAACTTATGTAGTAGTTTATTCGATTAAATATCATGCTGATGGTACTGCATACTTGTGGGAATTCACTGGGTTGTTGTTGTTGTTGCTGGTGGTACTGCATAATAGCATCTCAGAGGCCCCAATAGCTATAGGCAAGTAATACAGCCTTGTATCTGTTGTTACATCAGAAGATTGATCAGATTAAATGATCCTGTTTAGAACTGTTAGGAATTTTTTTTTTGCACCAGAAGTATACTACCATGCTTACAATAAACAGCTGAAGTAAAAGAATGGAACTTTATTTTGCTGGTGATATGCATAAAACAATTGTTGACAAGGCTTGTTTTTTAGAGTTAGAGCATTGCATTCTTCACCGAGGTGCTTAATTTTGCTTCTTGTTTTCCATTGCTTGTAGTCTAGGATCAAACAATGAACCTTCAGCAAGATGTATGGTTGTAAACCGTAAATCTTGTTTATTCGGTGTTTCCTCCATCCATATGCTCTGAAGTATCTTTGTAGTCATTACAAGCTCAATTTCAGTTCAACTCTCATTATTTGGACTTTAACACCTTTATGAAACGTAGTAGCTTTTTGGTTGACGTAGTTTTTCCTCGGTATTCTTGTTCCATATAAGTTCGGGTATTGTTGTCTTTCCAAAGAACATGTTATTAGACATAGAAGCAATAATTAAGTTTCTTTTTTGCTTGAAGAATCTAAATGTCTTGCCTAATGCATGATCATTTCACTCATGTCAGACCAAATCCTCCATCACAAGCTGTTGTCGCTGTGAGCAATACATATGGGCGTGTTAGGAAGCCCCTTGGTTTCAGGCTGATAGGTTTATTTTCTGATATTCAAGGATCTGAGAAGGTACAAGATGCTGATGATTGTTCTCTTTGGCTGCCTATTGCACCGCCTGGATATGTCACAATGGGTTGTGTTGCTCATATAGGAGCACAACCACCTCCTAATCACATAGTTCATTGCATACGTTCTGATTTGGTAACATCAATGATGCTTTTGGAATGTATCTTTAGCGTTGCTGCTAATACTGCATTCACATCAGGTTTCGGTATTTGGCGTTTGGATAATGCTCTTGGGTCATTCTATGCCCATCCATCTAGTAGTCATCCTCATAAAAGCTGTTGTTTTGATCTGAATAATCTTCTTCTTCTGAGCTCAAGTTGGTATAATTCTTCCTTAAAAGTACCTACTGTAGATTTAACTAGGGAGAGCGAGCACCTGCATCTCCAGACAAGTAAACAGAGTGCAACTTCATCAGGATGGGACATTATCAGATCAATTTCTAAAGCGACCTCTTGTTATATTTCAACTCCAAACTTTGAGCGGATCTGGTGGGACAGGGGTAGTGATCTTCGCCCTGCAGTCTCTATATGGAGACCTATAAGACGTCCTTGTTATGCAGTACTGGGTGACTGTATTACCGAAGGGTTAGTTGTTTATTTTGCTTTCCTTGATTCTACTTTGCCTGCTTTACACCAGTACATCTTGTTTGACATGTGGGATCATTCCTTTGCTTCAGCTTAGAACCACCTCCCCTTGGTATAATCTTTAAGGCTGACAACCCTGAACTTTCTGCAAAGCCTGTGCAATTTACAAAAGTTGCTCATATTGCGGGCAAGGGACTGGAGGAAGCTTTCTTCTGGTACCCGGTTGCTCCTCCTGGTTATGCTGCTTTGGGTTGTGTAGTGACACGTAGCAATGAAGCACCTGATCTGGATTATTTTTGCTGCCCAAGGATGGATCTTGTTAGTCAAGCTAATGTTCTTGAGATGCCCATTTCAAGATCTTCAGGCTCCAGAGCTTCTCAGTGCTGGAGCATTTGGAAAGTTGACAATCAGGTCAGAGTTACTACCTTCTGGATGTGCCCTTTTATTATTTTATCTTAATCATCCTCAATTGTAGTATCTGCTGCATCGTTGCTCTATCTTCCCCTGGAATGTGTGAATCCAGAGTGGCTTATACTTCCTTGACCTGCTGTTTACATTCCTTGACCGCACAATAGTTCTGTACTGCATTACAGGCTTGCACGTTCCTTGCACGCTCTGATCTGAAAAAACCTTCCAGTAGATTGGCATTTACTCTTGGTGATTCAGTGAAGCCAAAGACAAGGGACAACATAACAGCTGACATGAAAATCAGATGCTTTTCTGTGACTCTATTGGACAGCTTATGCGGAATGGTCTGTAGACCTCAGAAACTTTGTTAGCTTATATGATTTTTCTTCGTTTTTGGCTATTTATTTGTGCATTTATGTATTTTCAGGTAACACCTCTTTTTGATGCAACAATTACTAATATTAAGCTTGCAACACATGGGCGACTAGAGGCAATGAATGCTGTTCTCATTTCTTCAATGGCTGCTTCCACCTTCAACACGCAATTAGAAGCGTGGGAGCCACTTGTTGAGCCTTTTGATGGAATATTTAAGTAATATCTTTCACCATGCACCCATTGTCATTTGTTACTATGTTGACTCATTTTCTTCTGTTGTTGCTGCTTTACCACATCTGTTATTCTTCATTTTGCAGGTTTGAGACTTATGAGACCAATTTACATCCGCCTTCAAGAGTTGGTACAAGGGTAAGAGTTGCTGCAACCAGCATTTTGAACATAAATCTGAGTGCAGCAAATCTTGATGTATTGGGGCAAGCTGTCGAGTCATGGCGAAAGCAGAGAGAACTGGAAAAGAAAGCAATTAAGATTAAGGTGATTGTGTGATGCTCAAGATACACTTCAGTTACTGTTGGTATGTTTCTGATTATTTCTTGCTTCTGCAGGAAGCTCGTTCTGGGAATGCACATCAAGATAATACTAGTTTTGTGGCACTGGATGACGACGATTTTCGGACGGTGGTGGTCGAAAATAAACTTGGGTGTGACATGTACCTGAAAAAAGTTGAGCAAAACTCAGACGTATTTGAGTTACTACCTCCTGATAATTCTGTTTCTGTATGGATTCCACCTACAAGGCATTCTGACAGATTAAATGTTGCCAATGAGTCAAGGGAACCTCGACGTTATGCTGCTGTGCAGATAGTTGAAGCCAAGGTTGTTGACATACTGATTCCTATTAGTGGGGTTTGCTGTCATGGAACCTTAGTTGCTCATGAGGTTCTCATTTTATTTCTCTCTCTAACAGGGTCTGCCTGTCAATGATGACGGCAATAGCCATAACTTCTTCTGCGCTTTGCGCTTGGTTGTGGAGAATCAGGATTCAAATCAACAAAAGCTTTTTCCTCAGAGTGCAAGGACGAAATGTGTGAAGCCACTAATTACTAGAAAAAATAACGTGGATGAAGGCACCACTAAATGGAATGAACTCTTCATATTTGAAGTTCCTTTGAAGGTAATTGGCAGAAAGGATTAAGAGAGATGTATACTTATAGGCACTCTTTTTCCCCATTTGCATAAACTTTGTAATGAAACAGAAATAAGAGTAGAAGGGCGAGAACAACGTGTCAGTAAATGAGTATGGAGGATATGTATGACAGTATCAGTAGAGCTTCCCCATATCTTTGGATGTTTTTTAAGGCTATTCTTGAACACCATAAGGTAGTCTTAACTCTTAAACGAATGGCCAAAAACCTGCTTCCCATGAATAACATGTTTACATGAAGACATTCGCCTACTTGGAAACATTCTCAATCTTTTCTCAGTCCAAATCCTCCACCTATGGTGGAAGTTATAGTTACTAGGAGCATTACATTCCTTTCAGCACATCCAATAAGCATTTTCCATTCTTGCAATCAACCTTCCATTTTCTTATAGGGGCTGGCAAAGCTGGAAGTGGAGGTGACAAACCTTTCTGCAAAGGCCGGAAAAGGTAACTTGGTGCTTTAAAGCATATTGTTCTTCCTTATAAACTCCTAATCTATTTATTTGTCAAGGAAAATGATAAATTACAATCTGAAATTTTCTCCCCGTATTGATATTATACTTTCAGTTACATAAATGGTGTATCTCTTGGTTTGTATTTCCATTTTCTGTCTCAGAATGCATGCCAGAGAGATTAGTCACTGTTACAGCTTTCTGATTTTCATATGGAAATTGGAAGGGAAAAGCTTTTCTTTGCAATTTTGTTTAGCTATAGCTTAACTGAAAATGAAGGAAGTTTCTTCCATCTCCAAAAATAAAAAAAAAATGAAGGAAGTTTCTTCTGTTCTGAAGGATTGTTAATCATAAATGCTGTAGTTTGCGGAACTTCAAATTTCTTAGTCTCATGATTTGGAGTTTTACTTTTCTTTTATTAGCTAGTTTTATCACTTCAGTGCACCTTAGCCTCCCTCATTCTACTCCATCTCTTATTAATATCAGTTCTTGGTCTCAGAGAAGTTATAGTGTTATTTGACTTCCTCTAAAAACAGATCAGCGAGGCTGGAGTTTGGTTTTATTAAATTGTATTAGTTCGATTAATTGATTCTAAAATATGTCGTTGCATAATGTCAATGCAGGTGAGGTTGTTGGCGCATCGTCCTTTTCCGTTGCACATGGTCCAAGTATTCTAAAGAAGGTTGCTTCACTCAGAATGCTGCATCAAGTGTCTGACGTTGAAAACTTTGGATGTTATCCTCTAAGAAGAAGGGTTAGTTGCACTGCCGCGTCTTTCATCTTGGTTCTTTTCTGTTTCTGTAATGTTGGAAATTTTACTGTGACAATATTACATCTTTCTGTGCTCATATCAGTATGATTTCCAGGGCCAACTTAACAGTAATGAGACAAATTCTTGTGGCTGCCTTTTTGTCTCAACGTCTTACTTTGAGAAGAAAATAGTATTAAACTTCGAAAATGATGAGGGAGAAAAGAGTGGTGCTAGTGATACAGGGTTTTGGGTAGGACTTACACCTAAAGGTCCATGGGAGAGCATCCGCTCCTTCCTACCGCTATCAGTGGTCACCAAAACATTGGGAGATGATTTTGTGGCTTTAGAGGTTGTCACCAAAAATGGAAAAAAGCACATAATTTTTCGGGCACTTGCTACAGTTACGAATGATTCAGATATCACATTGGATATTTCGCCATGTCACGAGTCCATGATTCATACTCAGGATCTATCTTCAGAAGGTAGAAATTATAGCATATTTGTTGAGGAGATTTTTGAGAATCAACGCAATCATCCAGTTTCTGGTGGAAATGACCCAGGGCGGTGGAGCACTAGGGATTATGCCTATTCCTCAAATGTGGGTATTACCTGACTTCTGCTTTTAAAATAGTTGATGTTGATTAGCTTTTGTTGACCTTTCCTCTTTTATTGTGAAGGACTTTTTTGAACCTACCCTGCCTCCTGGATGGAAATGGATATCGTCTTGGACGGTTGACAAATCTCAGTTTGTTGACATTGATGGATGGGCATATGGACCTGATTTTCAAACCTTGAAGTGGCCACCAAATTCTTCCAAGTGTAGCACAAAGTCGGCTCACAATACTGTTCGTCGAAGACGTTGGACTCGTACAAGGCAGCAAGTTAAGGAGAGGGGTGCAAATAACACAGATCACATTGTTACTAGTCCTGGTTCTTCGGCTATCTTACCTTGGAGATGCATGTCCAAGGACTCTAACCACTGTTTACAAGTTCGTCCATGCCTTGGTTATTCTCAGANCGCCTTGATTATTCTCAGACTCCTTATTCGTGGGGTCATCCTATTGCTGTGGGCTCTGTCTTTGGCTTGGGTAAGGACCAAACATCTATCGAAAGCAGTGCACTTTCTCGACAAAATACTGTAAGGCAGGGAAACAAAATACCTATTTCTGCATTGAAGCTAAACCAGCTTGAGAAAATGGATCTACTTTTATGTTGTCCTGGTGGCAGTGGTAAACAGCTTTGGCTCTGTGTTGGTACAGATGCCTCTGTTCTTCACACAGAGCTAAATGCCCCAGTTTATGATTGGAAACTATCAATTAGTTCTCCCTTGAAATTGGAGAATCGGCTTCCTTGTGGAGCTGACTTCACGATCTGGGAAAAACTGAAAGATGGCAACACTGTAGAGCGACATCGGGGTTTTATGTCATCCCGGGAGACCGTGCACATATATTCTGCGGATGTGCGCAATCCTATATATCTGATGTTATTTGTTCAAGGTGGTTGGGTTATGGAAAAGGTAGTTGTTCCTGGAGTAAATATTTGCATATTTATGCTTCTGGATATCATATGGGTGTCCCACACAGACACACACATGTACATAGCATTTTTACATTGCAAGAAAAGATTTTTGTTTGTAGACCTGCTCTGATCAGCTTTTTTCCTTTATGCAAACAGGACCCCGTACTCATCTTGGATCTTACGAGTAACAATCATGCTTCTTCATTTTCTATGGTTCACCAACAAAGNCGGCCAACTTCTGTTTATCAACATGGTTTTGTTGCTCAGGGGGAGTCTAGTGGCCTTGTATGTCGCTTGCGCCGGTCACTTCATGGTCTAGAGCAGTCTCCTCGAGTCTGGTTTGGTAAGTTCAGCATGTGCTATCCAGGTGTTTGACATGACTCGTGATCAGCTTGCAGATATTTTCACCAAGTCCCTCATTGGTCCTCGTATTAGTTATATATGTAACAAGCTCGGTACATATGATTTGTATGCACCGGCTTGAGGGGGAGTTTTAAATGGTATGTGTAAATAAAAAAACTTGTCCTTTATGTAATAGGAGTAGAATATGTATTATTTTTATTTTTTTTTATGACCGAGAAATCCGTCTGGAACCGATCCTTTGGACCAACCGCAGCCTTCGAAACTCAATGGATAATGGGCCTACCCCTCTACCCTTCTCCACTTAAATACCAGGCTTTGCTTTGCATGGTGTGAGGGCTTGAACCTGTGACCTAAGACACAAATTCACCACCCTTTGCCACTTGAGCTAGGCCCTGGGGCAGTAGAATATGTATTATATATAGGGCTCATTGTATCATTGCTAATAGATAGATTTTTCTTCCCATGCATTCTCACTGTATGGAATCATGCCTTGTACAGGAGGTTGCGGATTAGTGTTGAACGTGACATAGGAGGAACTACTGCTGCTCCTAAAACCATACGGTTCTTTGTTCCATATTGGATTAGCAATGACTCATTCTTGTTTTTGGCTTATCAAGTTGTGGAAATTGAGCCATTGGAAAGCTCAGATGTAGATTCACTTTCACTTTCCAGAGCTGTTAAATCAGCTAAACTAGCATTGAAAACTCCCCCTACTTCAGTGCTCAGTAGACAGATAGGTGCAAGGAAAAACATTCAAGTACTTGAAGTTATTGAAGATTCCAGTCCAACACCCAGCATGCTTTCTCCACAACACTATGTTGGCCGCGGTGGTGTCATGTTGTTTTCATCGCGTAATGATGCCTATCTTTCATCACGGGTTGGCATTGCTGTGGCTCTTCAAAATTCTGAGAATTTCAGTTCTGGGATATCTCTTCTTGAGCTGGAAAAGAAGGTAACATGGATAAATTTTGGGTGATTCACAATGGCTAAAATTACGACTCTCATTAAACTTGGCTTTCCTGCAGCAACGTGTTGACGTCAAGGCCTTTGGTGCGGATGGATTTTATTACAAGCTTGCGGTGGTACTGCGCATGACTTCAGACAGAACAAAGGTATTCTTAATTGTCGTCACTCCTTGTCATGTTGAGTGGTGCTTAGTGGTGAATAGACTGCAGGTTATTTGTCCTGCCAAATTGTTTTCAAAATGCATGTCATTTAACCAACTTTGTCACAAATGTATTTCAGCTTGCCCAATCATATAAGGAAAACAGTCTAGAAATTCTATGCGAAGTTCAAAGTTCTTGATGAATTTTTCTTGAAGAGAAGGGCTTCAATGTGGTTTAGTCCTCTCACGGAATACGTATATTCAATAATAAAATCATAGGCAAATTATTGGATGTGAATTAAACTGAAGTCTTGGAAGTTGCAACATATTCTTCAAAATCATTCTGTCATAATCTGCTTCTATATGTGTTCTGATGTTGCATTTAATGTAATAATTCCTAATTTCTTCTTGCTTTTCCTAGATCTTCCAGAAAACAGAGTTTTGATCTTTCAGATGTCACTCAGTGGAAATCCATGATACACTTTATTTTCTAGCATTACATTGTCAAAGAAGAAAGATGTTTGGCTGCTAAATGATCCCTCAGCTACTTGAGAGGGCCTCTAAGTAATTAGCCCAAAAACTCTCCATGATTTTTTTTCTAGTAGAGAGGATTTTAACTTCTTAGTAAAGCCATAGTAATTATCCCATAAACCCTCCATGATTTTTTCCTAGTAGAAAATAATTTAATTTCTAAATAAAAGCCATAGGAATAGAAGTTCAAAGAAAATTGCCAGCATCAACTGTGATCAGGTTTATCCAAACAGAACTTAATTCTATGAATTTCTCTGATGGCAAGCATCTGATCCTTCATGAAACTATTTCATCAGCTCCAACTGCTGAGTTATGGAGAAGAACAGTTTATAATGAAGCAACAAAAGAATTACAAGGGTACAGGAGATTATATGACACTGAGAATAAAGGTAGACTACAAGTAACAAAACCTGTCTGCAGAGCAATGAGAAAAATAGAATTAGAGAATGGAGAGATCATAGGTTCCAATGATGATGATTGCTAAAGCAATACATAAGAAATTGTCCCACATTATGGATATCTTATCTATCATATGGATAGAATAATTTGAATGAATAGGAAGTCCACATTGGAGCTCAAAAAGGTAAGATGATTCTTTAGAACCAGAAGTAAAACAATTGGTTTAAGTTTTTTGGCATGAGACTCTTATAAGGTGTAAGTTCTAGGAGTAACTGTATATCTGCATCATCTGTTGTGCCCAGATGATGAACTTATTGGTACACGTTTCAAGCTTATGAAGTTCTATACACTAAGTTGATGAACAAAAAGAGAAACAGAACAAAATAAGAGAAAAAGGACTTCTTTGATTGGAGAGTTGCGGGAGCTTTCCCCTATGGATATAGGAGCTTATTTGAGTAGTCAAGTATCAACAACAACAACGACCCAGTATAATCCCACAAGTGGGGTCTGGGGAGGGTAATATGTACGCAGACCTTACCCCTACCCCGAAGGGTAGGGAGGCTGTTTCCAGGAGACCCTCGGCTCAAAAAACAATAGGAGATGATATATTAGTACCATAAAAATGCGTAATAAAAATAACAACAATATATAAGAGATATGAAATATGAAATATAGGATACTAAATACGAAAATACGAAATAGATGGCTGGTATAGTACAACTAGAAGGTAAAGCCCTGC